ACATTGTGGCAGGGTGTTATTCATAACGTTAAAATCCGTGCTTCACACGCACGGGGAATTTTATTCCGAAGCCTAAGTAGGGATAAGTCAACGCCTAACACGCGTTGCCGGTTAGTCTTTTGCCGTGAAAAGGACAAAAGCCCACATATTCGACATTGTGGCAGGCCGTTATTAATAACGCCGAAATCCGCGCCTCACACGCGCGGGGAATTTTATTCCGAACCCTAAGTAGGAATAAGTCAACGCCTAACTCGTGTTGCCGGTTTAGTCTTTCACCGATTGAAAAAGACACCAGAATTCCAATCTGGGGACTTTTATCCCAAAGCCTAAGTAGGGATATGTCAGCGTCTAACACACGTTGTCGGGTAGCCTATTCCCGTAATAATGGCGAAGTCTACGTATTCAATATCGTAGCATCAAGTCTAAAGGAGTTCATTCCTTTAGCACAACGTCATTAAGACAATCCGCATGTAAGCCCGATTCAAACGGTAATCGGTAAAAGCATGACAAATCCGTTGAGGGCTGAGGATTTGCCAAAAATCCTAAGTCAACGTCTGATACACGTTGCTGTTTAGTCTTTTCACAGAAGAAAGACGAAGTCTACGTATTCAATATCGTAGCACTAAAAGAGTTAACTCTTTTAGCATAACGTTACATGTGGAACGGACTTAAACAATCCGCATGCTAGCCCGACTCAAACGGTAGTCGGTAAAGGCGCATCAAACCCGTTGATGGCTGAGGATTTGCCAAAAATCCTATAAAAATGCGAGTCATTGACGCATCAACTTTGTGAGTTGGTCTCGTGACTCGAGCATCCAACGACCTTGGGATAACAGGATAAGATCCACACGTGTAGATGAATCAGCTTTAATAGTTGGTCCTGCAGCCCAACATTCGGGACCGTCACACTCCAATGCCTTAAGAGCTTAAACTGTGTAGACTCCAACAAATGTACGAGTATAAACTGTGTTAACGCCGGTCAACGCGTTACAGTAAAGATCAATGCCGGTCAACGCATCAGCAATTTCGCCAAAATAAGGCAAAAGAGGACTCCAAGGATTTCAGTTACAATCAGATATGAATTCCCGACGGAGAGGATTAGTTCAAAGTCAACTCAATGGCACAAGCTTAGTTCAGAAACTTATACACCAATCTCAGTTCAAGATTTCGACAACGATCAGACAATAAACGCAGCGCCGGAAGAACTTCATCTATTCGATGGAACAATGAATAGATTGAAGGCTGAAGAAGTTAAGAATTGAGGTAGTTAAAGGTCGCTCTACGAAATAGAGGAGATGGCCTATCTTATCCAAAGCATTCCAGACTCCTCTATAAAAGAAAGAGTCTGAAATACTTTGGAGGGGGTATCTGTAGGCGTCTAAAAATGCCTATAGGTATCCACACACAGCTCGAGACAGAGAGAAGACGACGGACATTGTTATCCGAGTCTAAGAGGATTATCTGACGCCGACAAGCGCCTGAAGCAAAACGGAGAATCAAGTGACCTACACGCACGCGTTAATCAACGCAAAGCGTACAAACGCACCCAACAGTCAGTTAACACGCACGCATCATTCAGCTCGTGCATGTCAATCAGTGCGCGCGTCAGTCAGTTCACGATGGCGTTAATCAACGTACATTAATCAACTCGCATGGAGCATACAAGTCAACATGACGGATGAGTAAACAAAACGGGAGAAACTACAAGTCCCGGAAGATCGGAAAAGTTGTAAAAACACAAGAAATCAGCGAAACTCAGCGCGCCGTGCGAGACGGACCAAACCGACCCGCGCCCGCGCGGGTCGGCCAAGTCCGACCCGCGCTCGCGCGGGTCGGATCGCGCCGACCCGCGCAAGCACGGGTCAGACTTGTCCTGCGCGCGCTGTTTTGACCCGGTTCGGTTTTTGATGGTTTTTCTCGAGATTTGTTGGTTCCTGAGCATCCAAACTGACTTGATATCATCTACAAACGTGGTTAGGCTGTTATTGACTTAAGATAAGGCCAAATCACTTGTTCTCATCCAAATAACCGCTCCCGAAGCCCTATAAATACAAGCATAGGGCCTCCTTTCAGAAGGGGCGATTGATTATCAAGACGAGGAGGTGCTGCCGGATTGTGGAGTCAAAGGAGCACGAATTTCAGCGAGGGTTGACAGATCTTGGCGAGTTCTTCGGCATAAAGAAGGAGAGTTCGAGAGATCCGACGCCCGTTCCCGTCCCTTGAGATTAGGCTTGGTCTTAATCTCGAGAAGAGCCCTGATTTCGCTTGGTCGATCTCAGCGCTTCCAATCAAATACTTCCTCGGCGAAGGCGAAGCTCTGCCGAATTTTCCATCAACCGGATCCAGATCTAAGGCGGTCCACGGATAAACCCCGGCACAGGCAAAGAACCCACGCAAGCAGAAGACCGATAAACGATCTCTGCGTTTGTTTTGACGAGAGTTGTAAACTTTTATTTTCATTGTGTAAAAGTCTTATAAAAAGACAATCTTTTTGTTTTCATTGTAACGACTAAAGTTGTAATGAATACCGCAATGAATACATCAATTTTCGACGCAAACACACGTAAAATCTTGTGTGTTTGTGGTTGTTTTCTTTCTCTCTTATCTCTATTTCCAAATAGCATCAGGGGTTTGATCTCAAAAAACCCAACAATTAGAAATTTATTTTTAAAACTGATAAGAGGTAAAATAAAAAGGCTTGTTTCCACCTTGATACCCCAAGTTTACATTTTTTTTTCACTTCGATACCATAGAATACTTTTTTAACACTTTGATACCCTAAAATTTTAATCGCATTTTGCTTTGATAACCCATTTGGATTTTATTAGATGTTCTGTTAATTTTACATCACGTGGTACCCCTCCGTTCCTACTATTAACATTTTATTATTTGGATCCAACACAAGTAGGTAAAATGAGCCTAAATATAATAATATAAATTTGACATAAAACCTAAGAAAAGATGGACAGAGTAGTCACGCTTTACCCTATGAACTATCACTGTCCTCTCATCAAAACCTTTGAAAACATCCAAGAAAGTAATAAATGAAAAGTGGTTCCTAGATACTGAATTTTATGGTTCAAGGTAGGGGTGAGCCCGGTTCGGTTCAAACCGAAAAAACCGACCGAACCGACCCGAACCGATCCAAAAAAAGCGGTTTTATGAGTAAGGCGGGTTGGGGGGGGGGGGCAATTTTTCAAACCGACCCGACCCGAACCAACCGAATATATTCCCTTGCCTCAAACCCTACCCGTTTACCCGTTTACCCAAAGACAAAGCAAGTTCGTTACTAAAAAATTACAACGTCAGAGTTTAGTATTTAATCCAAAAGGACAAGTTACTTCACTTAAAAACAGTATACATACATGAGCAAGAATAATAAATTGAAGTGAAGTTAAAAAATAAATACATGCTGGCATAGGGTAATAAGAATATATAAAAGATAAATTGAAGTGAAGTTATACTTGATGAAGTTAGAACCGAACAAACCGAACCGAACCGAACCGAACCGATTTGCAATGGTTCGGTTCGGTTTTGAATTGTAGATGGTTCGGTTCGGTTGTTCAAATTTTGGTAAAAACCGACCCGAACCGAACCGTGTTCACCCCTAGTTCAAGGGGTAAATCATGAAAAATTTAATAGTTTAGAAGGCAATGCGGGAGAAAAACTAATTTAAGGGCCAAGCAAGAGGCAAATTCAGTAGTTTGGAGGACACGTAGGAACTAAAAGCAGTATAGAGATAACATGGTTTATATCTCAAGGACTTGTATGAATGCAAGAGCAATATTTTATTCTATTTTGTTTTATTTTTTATTTTTATTTATTTGACTTTATTGTTGTTTTATTTCAGGTGGGTGAAGTTGTGTGTTTATTGCCTATTGCTCATTATATATAACTACATGCAGGTTGCATCGATCACTATTCCATGTTGGCTGTTGCAAGCTAGCGCAAACTGGAACTCAAACTGACCCCACAGCCACAGGTGACTTTATCAAACCACCACTTGCTTCACGCGATTTTCGTTCATACGTCCAGCTAGCGCGAACGCGTGCTCTCTGTTTGATAAAATGCCCAACTGATAAGTTCATTCCGTTATCTCAATACGGGTCATTTTTAGCAAGTCTTATGTATCTCTTTTCTTCAATGTTAAGATTTTGATGTTTCAATAGATCTTATTTCTCAATGTCTTGTCAGATCAATTTCGTTTCATATAAACATGCAATGCCCTTTTTTTCCTCGCAAAGGTCGATCTGTGGGAGTGTCAATGAGATGTTCTTGCTTATTGACATAGCCCACGAGCAGAGTTATGAATGAAAAAAATTATTCTTGAACGAGGAAGGATCCGTTTGTCATTAATTGTTGATGTGATGTAGAACACACGGCGAACACACGGCAGACACGTTTATGTCAAAGTGGGACAGTCGTAAGCCCAAATGCGGGTCTGGTCGAAGAAAATAACTTGTTTCGAAGAAACGACCATAATTTTCAAACCGTACGTCGGATTTGGATAAATTATATATGAAAATCGATTATCTCGACGAGACGGAGCCATCCAAACCGACCCCTAAGGTTCGTCGTTTATTCATCTAACTATTCATCCCTTATCCAACTGTTTATATTTTTCAAGATGGCTAGGTTCGTCGTTGACAGCATCCATTTGCTCTTTGGACTTTGTGGCTCTAGGTTCGAAAATAAGGAGCGTGTCTTGTATTTGTCAATTAAACTTTCTATGTCATCCTACTGAACTAAGGTGAGGACATGCTTCGCAGGTTAGGAATGCTGAAGGAAGGATGGTATTTAAATTTAGTGGGGGTATTTAGGAAAGGGGGTGGAAACAATGAAGGTTATTGCATGAAGTTTAAATTGACCATCTTCTAATCTACGCTCATGATTTCCAATTTTCTATGCTCTAGAACATTCATGGGTTACTAGCAATAGGTCTACGTCCATGGAAAGTAGACATGTAGGGGTGGAAGTTGATCGAGTAATGATCAAATAGTTCTCCGTTTATTCATCTAACTATTCATCCAGTTTCAATTTGAAAGATCATTCAAGAGAAAATTTAAAAAATAGACGTTAGTATTCATATACTAAAAGGATAAAAAAGAGGGGGGCGTCCATATATTTAGTTTGTTTGCTTTTCATTCGCTTATCAAATATTTGTTTAATGTTTATTCCTTTATCATGTATGAAGTCCCACATCGATGTTTTAAACCAATGCACATCATCACTTTAAAGGAATAATTTTCAGTTATGATTTAAATGGTATTAGATCAGAATTCTAATCACACAAAAGTAACTCTGTAACCAAATAAAAATATCTTCTTATTCAAGTATTCGATAAAATTTGAAGAACAAAATTTGAGTTTGGATTCGGATTCAAATTTGTTTTGCGGATACAAACATGGACACCTCAATGTTTGACTCAATTGATTGGTTTCTAGCACCATGTGGTCTTCATATAACAGTGAAGTTTAAATCTCAACAAAGCAATTGAATGAGTAGTAGTTAGAGATGAGAATTACAATTTGAAAGAACTAATAAGATCTGAGGGACTTAATAGCAAGTTCAATGATTTGAGGGATTAATTCAAATTAGTGAAGATCTAAGAAACCACTATCGAAGAACTTTTTATTTATTTGTAGTTCTGTAACTTTTGTTTGGAAGCTTCATTCTAATCTTTTTTCTAATCGATCATAGTACTCATGGACAACGAACCATGTATAAGTCTATGTGATTAGTAGGTATCAATATTTATGTGATCCATTTTAATTATTCATGTTTAAGGTTTGCATCAGATCGGCCTGCATCAGTTTGTCGAAGGACGTCAATATATCAGTGGGTTACTTGCAAGTTTTTGTTTCGGCATTTGTACTCTGACACATACAGGTAAATCTTTTTGAGGCTCAACATCAACATGCAATAATGGTACAAGAGGAGCTGCAAAAATTCAGTGGAGGGTGATGGGGCTCGGAAGGAAGATAGAAAGAAAGAAAGACGGAGAAGGTATTTGTTCCTAAGTAATTGGTTTCGGTTTTCCCCTGACTAATGACCAGGCCATGGTGAAGGTATTATTAGCCCGTGCTAATTATTTAGGGACCAAAAAGTCAGAATTCATTTTAACCTCCTCTGGAAGTTACCTTGTTTACTTCTTAACTATCATCTGATCATATCTAGCAGGAGTGACTGAACATGCCCATGTTCATGGGACCTTTTCTGAGCAGCATATTGCCCACCATTGGTGAAACCAAGTGAGTCTTGACTAACTATCGGTTTTAAAGTTTCCTTCGTAATCTTGCAAATGCCTAACAAACAATTTACTTCTATTCTACACCTAACTTCTTTAGTCAATAATATGTCATACAGATTACCTGTTTAATGGATTTATTTGGTCTGTTTGGTTCAGATATATTTGATTCCCCTTTTCTTCTCACACATCAGATAAGTTACAATTGATTCATCAGCATAATATGCAAATATAGTCCCATATTTTGCATCTTGGCATGTGCAGCTAAAAACAAAATATGGCTGTTAAAATACATTTCTAACTCAATCATGCGCGTTTCATAGATACTGAGGCTCCATAACTGGATACAACCCTGTTGGAGACCTAAAGCCTTTGGAGACCTAAAGCCTTTGGAGAATGACTTGAAGCCCATACTGGGGGCGGGTAGTGAGCTCTTTGATGGGGGCATGGACATAGCCTGGTGAAAGAGTGAAGGTGTAATTCTGCAGTATCATTGATAATGCAATTTTGGTCTCCATCATTGCAAGGCCTTGGCCTACGCAGAAGCGAGGGCCTGTGCCAAAAGGAAGGAAACACATTCTGTTGTTGGTTGCTCCTGCCACTCCATCAGCAAACCTCTCTGGGTTGAAGAGGTGAGCATCTTCTCCCCATAGTTGAGGATCATGCTGAATAATCAAGGTTGACATAGCCAACTTTAAGCCTGCTGGAAGAACCAGCTTTCCTAACCTCACCTCCTTCGCTACCGTTCTAGCGAGCAAGACCACTGGTGGATACAATCTTAAGGATTCATTAAGGATCATCGTCATCTGCAATCGAAAATATAATCGAGAAACGCCTTGTATACATTCAGAAGTTTACAGCTTACAATAAGAAGTTAGGAACCAGTTATATATGGCCACTTTGAAGTATAAAATTTATAGTTTAGAATAGTGGCGGTGAACTGAACATGAGTGTTAAATTAAGTAGTAAGGTTTAGTATTGGGTATTGGGTTAATGGAACGTTACCCATTAACCTTAACCCTATTGTATGGCTATATATATATCTCTTATGATCTCAATAAACTATGGATTAGGGTTTTACCTATTCTGCCCAACTGATAAGTTCATTCCGTTATCTCAATACGGGTCATTTTTAGCAAGTCTTATGTATCTCTTTTCTTCAATGTTAAGATTTTGATGTTTCAATAGATCTTATTTCTCAATGTCTTGTCAGATCAATTTCGTTTCATATAAACATGCAATGCCCTTTTTTTCCTCGCAAAGGTCGATCTGTGGGAGTGTCAATGAGATGTTCTTGCTTATTGACATAGCCCACGAGCAGAGTTATGAATGAAAAAAATTATTCTTGAACGAGGAAGGATCCGTTTGTCATTAATTGTTGATGTGATGTAGAACACACGGCGAACACACGGCAGACACGTTTATGTCAAAGTGGGACAGTCGTAAGCCCAAATGCGGGTCTGGTCGAAGAAAATAACTTGTTTCGAAGAAACGACCATAATTTTCAAACCGTACGTCGGATTTGGATAAATTATATATGAAAATCGATTATCTCGACGAGACGGAGCCATCCAAACCGACCCCTAAGGTTCGTCGTTTATTCATCTAACTATTCATCCCTTATCCAACTGTTTATATTTTTCAAGATGGCTAGGTTCGTCGTTGACAGCATCCATTTGCTCTTTGGACTTTGTGGCTCTAGGTTCGAAAATAAGGAGCGTGTCTTGTATTTGTCAATTAAACTTTCTATGTCATCCTACTGAACTAAGGTGAGGACATGCTTCGCAGGTTAGGAATGCTGAAGGAAGGATGGTATTTAAATTTAGTGGGGGTATTTAGGAAAGGGGGTGGAAACAATGAAGGTTATTGCATGAAGTTTAAATTGACCATCTTCTAATCTACGCTCATGATTTCCAATTTTCTATGCTCTAGAACATTCATGGGTTACTAGCAATAGGTCTACGTCCATGGAAAGTAGACATGTAGGGGTGGAAGTTGATCGAGTAATGATCAAATAGTTCTCCGTTTATTCATCTAACTATTCATCCAGTTTCAATTTGAAAGATCATTCAAGAGAAAATTTAAAAAATAGACGTTAGTATTCATATACTAAAAGGATAAAAAAGAGGGGGGCGTCCATATATTTAGTTTGTTTGCTTTTCATTCGCTTATCAAATATTTGTTTAATGTTTATTCCTTTATCATGTATGAAGTCCCACATCGATGTTTTAAACCAATGCACATCATCACTTTAAAGGAATAATTTTCAGTTATGATTTAAATGGTATTAGATCAGAATTCTAATCACACAAAAGTAACTCTGTAACCAAATAAAAATATCTTCTTATTCAAGTATTCGATAAAATTTGAAGAACAAAATTTGAGTTTGGATTCGGATTCAAATTTGTTTTGCGGATACAAACATGGACACCTCAATGTTTGACTCAATTGATTGGTTTCTAGCACCATGTGGTCTTCATATAACAGTGAAGTTTAAATCTCAACAAAGCAATTGAATGAGTAGTAGTTAGAGATGAGAATTACAATTTGAAAGAACTAATAAGATCTGAGGGACTTAATAGCAAGTTCAATGATTTGAGGGATTAATTCAAATTAGTGAAGATCTAAGAAACCACTATCGAAGAACTTTTTATTTATTTGTAGTTCTGTAACTTTTGTTTGGAAGCTTCATTCTAATCTTTTTTCTAATCGATCATAGTACTCATGGACAACGAACCATGTATAAGTCTATGTGATTAGTAGGTATCAATATTTATGTGATCCATTTTAATTATTCATGTTTAAGGTTTGCATCAGATCGGCCTGCATCAGTTTGTCGAAGGACGTCAATATATCAGTGGGTTACTTGCAAGTTTTTGTTTCGGCATTTGTACTCTGACACATACAGGTAAATCTTTTTGAGGCTCAACATCAACATGCAATAATGGTACAAGAGGAGCTGCAAAAATTCAGTGGAGGGTGATGGGGCTCGGAAGGAAGATAGAAAGAAAGAAAGACGGAGAAGGTATTTGTTCCTAAGTAATTGGTTTCGGTTTTCCCCTGACTAATGACCAGGCCATGGTGAAGGTATTATTAGCCCGTGCTAATTATTTAGGGACCAAAAAGTCAGAATTCATTTTAACCTCCTCTGGAAGTTACCTTGTTTACTTCTTAACTATCATCTGATCATATCTAGCAGGAGTGACTGAACATGCCCATGTTCATGGGACCTTTTCTGAGCAGCATATTGCCCACCATTGGTGAAACCAAGTGAGTCTTGACTAACTATCGGTTTTAAAGTTTCCTTCGTAATCTTGCAAATGCCTAACAAACAATTTACTTCTATTCTACACCTAACTTCTTTAGTCAATAATATGTCATACAGATTACCTGTTTAATGGATTTATTTGGTCTGTTTGGTTCAGATATATTTGATTCCCCTTTTCTTCTCACACATCAGATAAGTTACAATTGATTCATCAGCATAATATGCAAATATAGTCCCATATTTTGCATCTTGGCATGTGCAGCTAAAAACAAAATATGGCTGTTAAAATACATTTCTAACTCAATCATGCGCGTTTCATAGATACTGAGGCTCCATAACTGGATACAACCCTGTTGGAGACCTAAAGCCTTTGGAGACCTAAAGCCTTTGGAGAATGACTTGAAGCCCATACTGGGGGCGGGTAGTGAGCTCTTTGATGGGGGCATGGACATAGCCTGGTGAAAGAGTGAAGGTGTAATTCTGCAGTATCATTGATAATGCAATTTTGGTCTCCATCATTGCAAGGCCTTGGCCTACGCAGAAGCGAGGGCCTGTGCCAAAAGGAAGGAAACACATTCTGTTGTTGGTTGCTCCTGCCACTCCATCAGCAAACCTCTCTGGGTTGAAGAGGTGAGCATCTTCTCCCCATAGTTGAGGATCATGCTGAATAATCAAGGTTGACATAGCCAACTTTAAGCCTGCTGGAAGAACCAGCTTTCCTAACCTCACCTCCTTCGCTACCGTTCTAGCGAGCAAGACCACTGGTGGATACAATCTTAAGGATTCATTAAGGATCATCGTCATCTGCAATCGAAAATATAATCGAGAAACGCCTTGTATACATTCAGAAGTTTACAGCTTACAATAAGAAGTTAGGAACCAGTTATATATGGCCACTTTGAAGTATAAAATTTATAGTTTAGAATAGTGGCGGTGAACTGAACATGAGTGTTAAATTAAGTAGTAAGGTTTAGTATTGGGTATTGGGTTAATGGAACGTTACCCATTAACCTTAACCCTATTGTATGGCTATATATATATCTCTTATGATCTCAATAAACTATGGATTAGGGTTTTACCTATTCTCTACAATGAGAATAGGATTCATGCAGCCGACCCCAAAAGTTTAGGAGGAAGGCTTTTGGTTTACTTACCGTCTTTAGTCTCGTAATGTTGGTGTCATCACAAGTAGGTGGCCTTCCTCCAAACAATTCAGTTGCCTCCTTCCTAGCCTTTTCTTGCCAATCTGTGTTAATGGCTAGGAGGAGAGAAGTCCATGTTAGAAGGCCAGTCGTGGTTTCGTGCCCCGCAAAGTAGAATGTTTTGCATTCGTCGATGATGTCTTCCAGAGTGATCCTTTCATCCCTTTCCTTCTCATAATTTGCTTTGACGAGTAAACCAAGTAAATCACTTCCATAACCATCAGGGCATCCAATTTGTTTACTCTCTCTCCTCTTCATAATTAGTTTTATGATGGTATCACGTATTTCCTTCTCAATTTTATCTGCTTCTTTGTCATCATTATTCCTGAATAATTTTCTTCAAAATGAGAAAAAATTCTCTTCATCATTAAACAACACGAATAAAATGTGTAATCACCTCATAAATGGGAAGCGTACAGTCTCAGCATTACGAGAAGTAATTCTGACTAGATCCCCTAATTTTGTGAAGATATCCTTTCCTTGCACATAACTGCTACCGAAGGCTGTCCTTGAAATGACATCAGATGACAAAACACGAAACTCTTGGAATAAATCCACCTCCTTGTTTTCGTACTCTACCCATTTTTTCAGCAGGTCTTCCACACTGATCACTACTGCTGGAATCATGACCTGAAAAGAGTGCCATTTTCTTCTTACTATTGCCACATCGAAATTAAAATCCCATGCCGTACAAATTAATTTCATTATACAGTGTTGTACCACCTAAATTGGAATCTTCCTGGTTGGTCTAATTGCAGATAAAGTTTTCCATTTACTAGTACAGTTGCTGATATTTTTATTTCAAACTATCTATCACTCCTGACCTGAGATATAATTTCAGGCTTCTTTTCACCCTAACATCATTTTAATTTCATGATTCAAAACCATGGACAGACATAATAAGGAGAAAATCAAGGAAATGAGGAAGAAGAGGAACGAGAAAAACATGTAAAATTTATTAAAAGTCTGTATGATTTCATAAATTTTAAATTGATGTATTATTGACAATTTCTTAAACATTTGAAAGAAAAAAAAAGAAATGTATTTTGGGCACGAGCTATTCAGCATAGTTCAAATCGATGTATAAACCTTTTTTTTTTCTCATTACTGTTTTGGTAACTTATTGGGTTCTGAGAATAAAAATCCTAGCACAAAAAATTAAGTCCAACCGCTCATGTATTTTTGTGGATCAACAGCTTCATGTGCAATGAATGCCCAATTTTTCTTTAACAAGTTATATAATTAAGCAATACTAATTGCTTATTTGTACCTTAAGATTCTCAGCATGAAAAGCATGGTTGGCCAATTTACGCTGCCGGACCCACTTCTTTCCTTCTGCTGTCACTAGCCCATCTCCCAGTAGCAAGAAACAAGATGTAGTATCACGATCTAGTGCAGAGGCCGAATACAGAGCAATGGCTCACACTACTTGTGAGATGGTGTGGCTACGAAAGTTTATGACAGAACTTGGTCTTGTTCAACCTGGACCCATGCCTATGCATTGTGACAACCAATCTGCCATTTACATTGCACAGAATCCTGTATTTCATGAGAGGACAAAACATATTGAAGTTGACTGCAATTTTGTCAGAGATGCTTGGGAGAAGAAGATAGTATCTCTCATATTCACTCCGTCCTCACAACAACTTGCTGATATTCTTACCAAGGCTACATCTTCAAAGGTGTTCTCTACTATATGTGACAAGCTGGGCATGATAGATATATATGCTCCAGCTTGAGGGGGAGTGTTAAATTAAGTAGTAAGGTTTAGTATTGGGTATTGGGTTAATGGAACGTTACCCATTAACCTTAACCCTATTGTATGGCTATATATATATCTCTTATGATCTCAATAAACTATGGATTAGGGTTTTACCTATTCTCTACAATGAGAATAGGATTCATGCAGCCGACCCCAAAAGTTTAGGAGGAAGGCTTTTGGTTTACTTACCGTCTTTAGTCTCGTAATGTTGGTGTCATCACAAGTAGGTGGCCTTCCTCCAAACAATTCAGTTGCCTCCTTCCTAGCCTTTTCTTGCCAATCTGTGTTAATGGCTAGGAGGAGAGAAGTCCATGTTAGAAGGCCAGTCGTGGTTTCGTGCCCCGCAAAGTAGAATGTTTTGCATTCGTCGATGATGTCTTCCAGAGTGATCCTTTCATCCCTTTCCTTCTCATAATTTGCTTTGACGAGTAAACCAAGTAAATCACTTCCATAACCATCAGGGCATCCAATTTGTTTACTCTCTCTCCTCTTCATAATTAGTTTTATGATGGTATCACGTATTTCCTTCTCAATTTTATCTGCTTCTTTGTCATCATTATTCCTGAATAATTTTCTTCAAAATGAGAAAAAATTCTCTTCATCATTAAACAACACGAATAAAATGTGTAATCACCTCATAAATGGGAAGCGTACAGTCTCAGCATTACGAGAAGTAATTCTGACTAGATCCCCTAATTTTGTGAAGATATCCTTTCCTTGCACATAACTGCTACCGAAGGCTGTCCTTGAAATGACATCAGATGACAAAACACGAAACTCTTGGAATAAATCCACCTCCTTGTTTTCGTACTCTACCCATTTTTTCAGCAGGTCTTCCACACTGATCACTACTGCTGGAATCATGACCTGAAAAGAGTGCCATTTTCTTCTTACTATTGCCACATCGAAATTAAAATCCCATGCCGTACAAATTAATTTCATTATACAGTGTTGTACCACCTAAATTGGAATCTTCCTGGTTGGTCTAATTGCAGATAAAGTTTTCCATTTACTAGTACAGTTGCTGATATTTTTATTTCAAACTATCTATCACTCCTGACCTGAGATATAATTTCAGGCTTCTTTTCACCCTAACATCATTTTAATTTCATGATTCAAAACCATGGACAGACATAATAAGGAGAAAATCAAGGAAATGAGGAAGAAGAGGAACGAGAAAAACATGTAAAATTTATTAAAAGTCTGTATGATTTCATAAATTTTAAATTGATGTATTATTGACAATTTCTTAAACATTTGAAAGAAAAAAAAAGAAATGTATTTTGGGCACGAGCTATTCAGCATAGTTCAAATCGATGTATAAACCTTTTTTTTTTCTCATTACTGTTTTGGTAACTTATTGGGTTCTGAGAATAAAAATCCTAGCACAAAAAATTAAGTCCAACCGCTCATGTATTTTTGTGGATCAACAGCTTCATGTGCAATGAATGCCCAATTTTTCTTTAACAAGTTATATAATTAAGCAATACTAATTGCTTATTTGTACCTTAAGATTCTCAGCATGAAAAGCATGGTTGGCCAATTTACGCTGCCGGACCCACTTCTTTCCTTCTGCTGTCACTAGCCCATCTCCCAGTAGCTTCTTCAAAAACCCACTTACAGGTTTTTTTATGTAAGCTCCCTCTCGGTTACATAACACCTCTTTGATCAATTCTGGCTCGGATATTACTAACTCAGGCAAGGGTCCATGCCATTTGAGGAAGTTGCGTCCTGTGATAAACAAAAGCCCCCTCAGCTTCTACTCTTGTTGTTGCAGTTTTAGGATAATAAAAGGATCAAGCAAGATGAAACTGAGAGAAATTGCTTGTGAGTTTCCATTTTACTGAACTTTATGGACTTGTTTGCCTATTTTTATACTTCCCACTAATATTGTCCAATGCTTAGGCTTCTACTTTGTATGATGCTGAAATAGTCCTAATACATCTAAACCCTTCATGAATTAAGTGGGGGTAGACTTAATATTAATTCTTCTTCTTTTTTGGGGCTTTTTGGCTCGGTTAACTTTGGCAGCTTTCTCTCAAAATCGCGATTTTGGGAGAAAGCTGCTAAAGTTCTGACACTTTGGCAGCTTTCCCCCCTTTCCCCCTTCAAAAAAACAGAACCAAACGCGCCCTCGGTGTGACAAAGGCCTCAACATGGATTCATATATTGAATAGGTTACATCACCGTGTTCTTTCACCCATGCATGCAAGTAAGGCTCGACCCTCGGTGCAATGGTGTGTGACAGCTCCATCGGCCTGCTCCTTGCTTCTTTCACCATCGCTTCGGCTTCCTTCGCGTTCCCGTGGGGGAACTTATACCGAGGCCCTCGTACTCCCTGTGCCTCCATCATCTTCTCCATCCTGACTGGACCCCACCATACTCTTCGAAGAAATCTGACGAGGCTTAAGAGTAGAAGAACGGCCACAGAGATGAAGAGGAGGTTGGTAACCATGGTGTTGATCATGTGGATGCAGCCTTTAGACAAAAGATTTCTCTCGTGGATAATTTTTTTTTTTCCTTTTTCCAGCTGGTTAACATAGACTGAGAAGGAATATGAGGTGAAGGAAGATTTATTAGAAAGATTTCGTCTCCGTGGTGTTACCATTTGTTTCCTTCCTATTGGCTTCTGCAGTCCTCATCATGGTCCCGACTTTTATTGTTAAGTATTATTAGTACATAGCGATAAGGTCCTCTCATCTACTTTTAGATAGCGAGGGCTTTTTTTTTAATGATAAACAGGCCAAGACTTGGCAAAATATGCTCTGGGTGTTTGTTTCAACTTTTTTTTTAGTGTGGATTACAAATTCTAGGATGAAAAGGTGGGGTTTTTTGAGTTTATGGATTTTATAACATTTGTTTGATTCAAAATAAATTTTGGGATATTGAATACTCAAATAATAAAAAACTAAAATATTATAGCATTTGTGAAATCCCCTCTTTGAGAGAGGATTTAGTCTAGATTTCAAAATTTAAAATTTGTAATGCTATAATTTAAGATTGAAACAAACAAAATACAAATTATAGGATTACATATCCTAAAATATTGATGAAACAAATAACATTTAGAAATCTCAACCCATGTTAAAAAACCTATGGATTTCAAATCCCATGGTGAAATCCATATCCTAAAATTATAGGATTTGAAACAAACACCCCCCTTATTTCTGGCATGCACATATCTACAAGTAAGTATGCTGTTTTTCTTATTGTTTCTTAAACTCATTCAAAAGTTCACCTAATTGTGTCATATTCCGTGTCAAAAATTGAAAATCTACAGGTTTTAGTAGCTCTGCTTTGATCGGAAGTTCTATTAATAATTCATTTTTATTAGGTTATATGAACAAGGACGTATCACCAAAGTGTCTGTATCAATAGATTTATCTGGTGATGTATGTTACAAACTTTAAAATTCAATTACTTAAGTCTGATCGTTGCATCTGAATTCTATTGGTCATAGTTTGTTTTTTATTTCTTTGACAAAGTAGCCCAAGGTTGAATCTTTCTTCCGTAATTTTGTTTAATTTGATAGTGATGATATCTATATATATTCTGTATAAGTCTTGCATTTCCTTTGCCTGTTTTCTATTTTAGAGTTGACAAAACATATAAATTTACCCGTATATTACTTTTTATTACGCAGATAAAAGGCGACTTACAACAACTTGAACGCAATTGTCTTACTTCTCAAATTTGAGAACTCCGTCACTTGATGTTACCCCATGTCTTGAAATGGACTGAAATAAGAACATATACAACACAATTACCTCAAACCCTTGAGAAAAAGACTGATTAAACTGACTAATTTGAAACATTTAGCCCTTCTTCTATTCCGATGAAAGTGAATGTTGGGGATTCAAAACAATCAAATCGAACCCTTGCCCTTTCGGATCTTGTGTTTGAGAGTAGGAAAGTAGGAAAAATCACAGCAAATAAAAGATAAAAACTTGCAGGAAAGTAAACAAGAAAGAACACACAATATTCAACGAGGTTCGGCAATTGTGCCTACGTCTTCGGGAGCCACACCACACAATTCTTTGATTAATATTGAAGAAAATTACAATGCCCAAAAATAGGATCTAATCTCTCTGAAGAATTCTCTCAAAACCCTCTTTTTCTGATGTTTAATCTTTTCTAAGGCGTTCCATATATATAGAAAACCTAAAACCAAAACAAACTAGGAATTCTAAAACCAAAAAACAAAACAGGTTAGGAATCCTAATAATATGTTACCAAAACAGATTAAGAATCATGTTACCAAAACAGATTAGGAAACCTATTATCCAACAATTTATTTGATTCCAGCTTTGAGTCTACATCTCTTAGACTAACAATCTCCCACTTGGAGATCAAAGCACAATCAAAGAGCTCACCCGAACTCTCACTTCTTTGCAAGCATCCTCCTACACAGAAAAAAATCCATTCTTCAACCATCATCAACCCGACGATCCTCCTGGTGTGGCTCCGCCTTCATCTCCTACACGTGAAGGCCAACTGAAGTTGTGCACAACTCCAGTTTGTCAATGGTCACGGGGTAAAATATCTCTGTATAGTCCACTCCTTCCCGTTGTTGGAACCCCTTCACGACTAATCTAGCCTTGTATCTCTTACTTCCATTACTCTCCTGCTTGACCCGATAGACCCATTTGTTATGCAAGGCTTTTTTTTGTGCAGGTAGCTGGACTAACTCTCATGTCTCATTAGTGTGTAGAGAATCCACCTTATCTTGCATTGCATGCTCTCCTTGCTGAGATTCACTCACTTGCATAGCCTCCTCATAGCACTCCGGTTCTCCACTATCTGTCAAAACCAAATAATCAAGTGATGAGAGAAATCTGGGATTCGCTTTGGGTACCCTGGATGACCTCCTAAGCTCCACGCTCTGGGTAGTCGTCTCTGCACCTGGAGCCTCCTCCGTTCTTCGGTCAGAATTGACTTTGTCGCCCCCATCTTGAAGTTCCTCCAATTTGATATACTCGGATTCACATGTATCCATAGTGCTGCTCCCACTGCTCCAATATCATTGGCACTGTCCCTATTCTTGTAAATCACCTCCTCATTGAATATCACATCCCTGCTTCCGATGATCTTCATGTTCTTCTCATCCCAAAGACGATACCCGAACTCTTCAATATCGTAACCAATGAATGTGCACTTCTGTGATTAACCTCTAGCTTGTCCCTGACATGGTCACTGATATGAACATATGTCACACAACTGAATACTCACAAATGTGAGAGATTGATCTTCTTGTCACTCCAAACCTCCTCTAGAGTCCCGTAATCCAAACCTCCTCTAGAATCCCGTAATCCAATAGAACTGATGGCCCATGATTAATCAAGTAGGTTACTGTATGCACTTTATCCGCCCAAAATATCTTAGGCAGACCTACATGTAATCGCATTCTCCTGGTACGCTCCGTCAATGTACTGTTCATCCTCTCTACAACGTCGTTTTGCTACGGCGTCCCTAGAGTAGTCCTCTCCAAACGAATCCTATTTAGAGCACAGAACCTCTTGAACTCCTCCAGCTCGTATTCTCCATCGTTGTCTGATCTCAAACACTTCACCTTTAGATTTGTCTCGTTCTTCACCATGGCCTTCCACTTTATGAAGATCCCGAACACCTCTGACTTGTACTTCATGAAGGATACTCACACTTTCCTCGAGTGATCGTCGATGAAGGTGACATAATATGTCGAACTGCCAAGAGAAGATACGCTGGCTGGACCCCATACGTCAGTATGAACTAACTCTAGCTTCTGAGCTTTAAGTGGCCTTTCACCCTTCTAGAAACTAACTCACTTCTGCTTCCCAAAGATGCAGTCCTCGCAAACACCGACTTCCACGAAATCGATGGCGATTAGCTTCCCCTGTGAATGTAGAATCTTCATCCCCTTCTCGCTCATGTGTCCCAATCTATTGTGCCACAGATCCGTATTCTCTTCGCTAGCTGCAATTGTGAGGGTGTCATTCGCATGTGAGGTGAGGTAGAGAGTTCCTGTTTTGTTGCATCGGGTAACAATAATAGTACCGTTTGAGATCCTCCACGAATCCTCGGTGAATGTTGAAACATAGTCTTCTGTTCCAATCTAGCCAACCGAAATAAGATTCCTCTTCAGCTTCAGTACGTGCCTCACGTTCTTCAGATTCCACTTAGAGCCCTTCAACTGTATTTGCATATCTCCTCTTCCAATAACACTACAGGGCTCATTATCCCCCAAGTATACTTTCCTAAAGTCCTCTGCTATATAGTTATGAAAAAGCTTCCTATTAGCAGTGGCGTGGAACGAGGCTCCTGAGTCGATGATCCAAGAATCAGAATTGCTCTCCATAGCGAGGATCAATGCATCCTGCACAAGGTGAACCTCCTGCTCATTCACGTCCTTCTTTTGTGCTTTACACGCTAAAGACATATGGCCCTCCTGGCCGTAGTTCTAACACTTTTCTTTGATAGGCCTAACTTTCGAGTTCCACCTCTTCTTGGTTGACTTCGATCGATTCCTGTTCTAATTACCCTTCTTCTAGTTTTTGCCTCTCTGCTCGAGATTTAGGGCTGAACCTGAACTTTCTAATTTGGACGATTTCCTTCTAACCTCCTCGGATAGAATCATGCTAACAACCTCGCTCAGCTTCAACTTGTCCTTCCCCACCGAATTGCCAATTGTCGTCACACAACCTGCCCAACTATCCGACAATTGCGATAGAATCAATAGGGCATGTACTTCGTCATCGAACATGATGTCTACGGAGATGAGTTGATCAACAATCATGTTGAACTCGCTGATGTGCATTGTGAAGGAGCTTCCTTCTACCATCTTGAGATTAAAGAGTGTCTTAACGAGATGCACTTTTTTTACGGCAGACGGTTGCTCATATATCTTCGCTAGTGCTTCCATAAGCCCCACCGTCGTCTTCTCCTTCAATATGTTATGTGCGACTGTCTTGGCGAGCGATAACTGGATTTGCTCTAGAGCCTTCCTATCCAGTATCTCCCAATCCTCGTCTGACTCTTCTTTCTTCTTTCCCTTATCCTTGCTCATCAACGGGCGATACAAATTCTTCTGGTACAGATAGTCCTCCATCTGTGACTTCCAATAGGCGAAATCTGAACGTCAAACTTCTCGATCTTAGATTTGCTTTTCTCTACCATGGCTCTCTCACAATCCTTTTAAACGAAGCTCTGATACCAGTTGTTGAGGATTCGAGACAATCAAATCGAACCCTTGCCTTCCTGGATCTTGTGTTTGAGAGTAGGAAAGTAAGAAAAATCACAGCAAATAAAAGATTAAAACTTGCAGGAAAGTAAACAAGAAAGAACACACCAGATTTAACGAGGTTCGGCAATCGTTCCTATGTTCTCGGGAGCCACACCACATAATTCTTTGATTAATATTGAAGAAGATTAGAATGCCCCAAATAGGATCTAATCTCTCTGAGATCTCTCTGAAAAATTCTCTCAAAACCCTCTTTTTCTAATGTCTAATCTCTTCTAAGACGTTTTATATATATAGAAAACCTAAAATCAAAACAGACTAGAATTCTAAAACCAAAAAAATAAAACAGATTAGGAATCCTAATAACCTGTTACCAAAATAGATTAGGAATCCTGTTACCAAAACAAATTAACAATCCTGTTACCAAAACAGATTTAGAATCCTATTACCAAAACAGATTAG